CTTTTTTTTTTTTTTTTTTTTTATGTTTGAATGAACAGCGGTTACCGATTTTGCTGCTATTTGCATTTGATTGTCTTTGATTGTTAGTAGTAGTAATTTCTGTGTACTAGAAGTAGTAGTTCGTCGTCAGAATTCAAATTAGAAATAGGTTTGAAAATTGAAAAGGCGTCTTGTTCGGCTTGTGTAATACTCAAAGCTTTGGTGAAGTTTTGAGGCAAATGTTCGCTTAATATGCCAAGCATTAGAGCTCCAGCTACAAGGAAGGCCACTACTCTTACGGTAACGTTTTATATTCAGGACTTCTTTAGCATTAGAGGCTTTGAATGTTTAGCCAACTGTTGATTTGTGTTTTGCTTAATCTGTATCTTTCTGATGGATGTAGGTAGCGGTGAAATGTAGGCCACTGACGGATAGAGAAGGAGGTCGTGATATAGTTAGAGTAAACAATGATAAGGTAGTTTTGTGTATTCACTTATTCTCGAATCATTTTCTACTGTTCTATCTAAAAGTCACTGTCATTTTCTTTGAAACATGATTATTGTAGAAACTTCTATGTTAATATATTTGTTCGTTGTGGATTTGATTGACTTACCTGAGAGTTATTTTTGGTAATTCGTGACAACAATGATGAATGTAGGAGGTGGTTGTATTGGATCCTGACCTGTCAAAGGATTACTTAGATCGCATACAGAACCGTAGCAAAGAACGAAGATATGCTTTTGATTACGCATTTGGACCTAAATCCACAAATTTGGCAAGTGCTTGTTTTTATCTTTGTTATTTCTCTTTTCTAGATTTGGGCTACTTATGAATGATGCCAGTTTACATGCCTTTGCATTTGATGTCGTTAATTAAACTCTGATGCTATAAAATCTCAGAGCGTCTATGAGAGAAGTATTCAGTCTACAATTGCTGGGGTCATTCAAGGCCTGAATGCAACTGTCTTTGCTTATGGTTCAACAGGCAGGTATATACTACATTGGATGAAGAAAATTTGAACCTTTCTGATTAATTTCCTGGGGTCGGGATATAGGCCATAGACATGCTTGTGGTATGAAATTAACTATGTGTTAGCTTCAAGTACCACCAGTCTGATCTTCCTTCAACAATATGGTGAGTGTGGCTAAAGTTGAGATGCAAAATACTACAGCAATGATCATTTTGAATCCTAGGAGTAACTTGATAGGTTAATAGCACTGGGAGATTGGTGCAGAGCAAAGAAATTAAATGAAAAGCAGAGATTGGTTAATAAAGGTTTATATTGTTGTGATGTTGAAGGAAATTATAGATATTGAGTTACTTTCAGCATATCAACGATCTTAAGCGAGTTATTCCTGTGTCTTGTTGGTGCTTGTCCCTTAATATACAATACTCTTTACTGATTTTAAGAAAAGACACACCTTTTTGGCTTTTAGGTGGGCTAAAAAAAGCGTCACTAGTTGGGTTTATTTGAACATAGGGAAGTTATAAGCTCATATTTCTTGGCTTATTTTCTTCTTGTACTTTATCTTTTTATTTTTCCTATTCTAGTTGGAGAGCCTTGGAGTGCTTCCGCAAGATAATCTTAATATTAAACAAGTGTTTGTATTTTCAGCGGAAAAACATATACAATGGCTGGAACTAAAGATGACCCAGGACTTATGGTTCTGAGTCTTAACACGATATTCGATCTTATCAAGAATGACAAAAGTTCTGACGTGTTTCAAGTTACTTGCTCCTACCTTGAAGTCTACAATGAGGTTTGATGTCTTTTTCATGGTATAAGCAGTTCTCGATTGAAGTGGTCTAGGCAATGCTTTTTGACATCTAAATATGTTGAAATCAGGTAATATATGACTTACTTGAGAAGTCATCAGGTCACTTGGAGCTCAGAGAGGACCCAGAGCAAGGAATTGTGGTTGCTGGCCTTAGATGTATCAAGGTTCGTCTATATTTTAATACTTTATCTTTTTCCAGAGACTGCTACATTTTGGATCGTCATACTTAGCATCTGTTGTCAAGGTTTTTTTTTTCCTCAAATAAAAGAACTCCCTCTAATTCAGTAGTTTTATGAAGTCCAATGGGTCTAGTTTCAGAACTTAAAGTGTTACAGCATATTCATGATATTCTTTTCTTGGTGCCTTAGAGATGCTGTCCACCAAGTCCTTTAATACCCTAGTCCATGAAAGAATGTAACAACAATCTGCTTCATACTTCTTAACGCAAGTTTTTCTAGTTTTCCAGTTATTTTAAGTCCGACATGAAAAGATGTACTTCCTCCAGTTGTAATGCTCTCTGCATCTGTTGATTTGGTTATTTTGTCTTATCACATGCTTTTTGGCCTCACCCTTACTTTAGATAATGACTATTTACTTTTGGTGACTTTTGCTCTAGTGATACAAGATCCTTGCCTGTTGTTCTTGACCCTGATACTTGTATTTAGGTTAATTCAGCTGATAAAATCCTTGAGCTCTTAACTTTGGGGAACAGCAGGCGAAAAACAGATAGCACAGAGGTCAATGAAACTTCATCACGGTGAGTAACATTGACTTCCTGTTAATGTTATATCCTACGTTCACTAAAATCCTCTTTAGCTTTCTACAGCAAACTGAAATCTATAATTTTCCTTCTTTTTCGTGATTCCTTGGCAAAGAAGACTTAAACACAGACTTCTTACATCGCTGTAGTTCATAAAAAGTGAAGCTTACCATTGTTTATCAGACATGAAACACCTACAATAATTACAGCTAAAAGAAAGGGTGGTGGTTCTTGATATTCTGCTTTTTGTTGTAAAAATCAAGGGGAATCTACCACTAGCTCAATTTCTTGGTCATCTCACCTTGTTAATGATATGGAAATACTGATATTTCCTGAGCAGCTCTCATGCAGTGTTGGAGATTACTGTGACTAGGAAACAGCGAGACAAATACTCTAATCAGGTTATAAGAGGAAAGCTGGCACTTGTGGATCTTGCTGGAAGGTCTGCCCAATATTTCCTTCTTTTTTCTTCTTTTCCTGCATGAGAAAAAGATTGGTGATAGTTATGTGCAAAACTTTTGACACAGTGAACGAGCTTCTGAAACAAATAGTGGAGGTCAAAAGTTGAGAGATGGCGCTAACATTAATCGATCTCTTCTTGCTTTGGCAAACTGCATAAATGCTCTAGGGAAACAACAGAAGAAGGGTCTAGCTTATGTTCCTTACCGCAATAGGTACTTGAATGGTTGTTATTGTGTTGTGAAATCTTTTACCTAATGTTAACTAATCTAGTTGATTCTTCTTGCAGTAAATTGACACGGATTCTGAAAGATGGTCTGAGTGGTAATTCTCAAACAATAATGATCGCCACCATATCACCAGCTGTCAGTCAGTATCACCATACTGTGAATACCTTAAAGTATGCTGACAGAGCAAAGGAAATTAAGACACACATTCAGGTTAGAGTCCAATATGATGTACTAGTGAAACAAAGGACAGTAGGACGCTAGATTCATACTAGAAGATCATCACATATTTTTTTGTGTGAATGTTCAATGCAGTACATAGTTAAAGTCGAATCCAATTTCTATTATAGAGATCTTCCCATATCAGAAGGAAAAGTATTCTTCATTGTTAACTATGTTTTAAGATGCAGAGATTGGCACTTCGCAATAAAGAAGTAATATTATAGTAAACCTTGGATAGAGAATGGATGGCTGGAAGGTGGTGTAACAAGAAAAGTAAAGTTGAATAGGTGATTAATCTGATGTTTTTCTAACGGAATAAATTCATTAAGATGGCTGGAGTGTATTAAAAAGGCTTTGCATTCCAGTATTGCAGAGGAATGACAGTAATTGCAGTTACTAATGAGAATAGTGTAGGAAGAAGGACGGAGCTTGTAAGAAAAGTTTTTAAAAGAATAAATTAAATTTTAGTCATTAATGGTTTGCCTGGTACTAGCTAGGTTAACTGTATCACCAGATTCATATAAGAAAAAGTTTTAAAAAGAAGGAATTAAAATTTAGCCCTTAATGGTTGCCTGGTACTAGCAAGGTTTAACCGTATCACCAGATTCATGTAGCTATCCTTCTGGTGAAGGGACAACTAAGGTTGTGGTAAGGTATAGAAGTTGCGCATGGTTGACTTCCTTTTAAATCTACTTTGTTCTTTTGTGATCTTTGGGTAAGCTCATTGCCATTTGCCTACTGGTATGGCCCAATACTCTCTGTGTGACCTATGGTTAAGCGTTGACATCCAACTGAAAGTCTTCTAGTTGCTTTTGTCCCAGTAACTACTCTAAGGATAATGACTGAATTGTTTTATTCATGAGCCTATTGCTGATCGCCATGCTGAATTGGGCATTATAGAATGCAATTCAGGGTGCATAGTACTTGGTTCAGTCTGGTTTCAACTTGGAATTTTTTTTCGGTAATAACCTGTGAAATTACCATTAACAACAAAACTTTTGTACACTTAAAAGAGCATCCGGTGTTAGAGCCCCCTTCCAAGAAGGTTGTTCTTAACAACTGAACCTCGAAGCTATCTAAAAAACAAGGCTAATTACACTATTGAGTCCCAAACTAGTTACATAAACTATTAATGAAACAGTTGTCCCTAAGTGTAGTCCTGTATCTATGCAGTGATGCTAATCTTTCTCTAATCTCACTTTGAATCTGCTTTATAGTATACTCAGTATTTACAGTGGCATTCCTGAACAATTTCCAGTTTCTGGCTTGCCATGTGTGATAGATCATTGGCCCCCATATAGCAGTCATCACTTCCTTCTTATATTGCCGCCAATATCTTCTTTCGAACCATTGTAAGCTCTGCATGATCCCTTTCTTCTGAATGGGAATTCCAGCCCAGCTAACCATTGCATTTCTTACTTGAGTTATCCACTTACATTCTGCAAACAGATGATATTGAGTTTCAGGGACACCCTCCTCACAAAGACAACTGTATGTGTAGCCTATGCAACCTCTCTTTTGTTAGCTTTCTGTCGTGGTAGGCAAGCCATACAATTACTCTTTGCCTTGGCATCATAACTGAGTTCCAGATTAGATCAGCTTCCTTCACTCTAATTTGATTCCCCAGCATAGCTACATAGCTTTTGTCACAGAATAATCACCTTTAGGGGTTAATGTATACTTCCCTCTATGATACCAGTTTATCATTTGGCCTGTCAATGAATTTAATTTCCTCCAATACCAACTGCTATCTGTTGGTGGTGTATGTTCCCATACACCACCAATGAATTTGTTTGTATAGATCCGCATATTCTGTATACTAATTTATACTTTTGGCTTTGCTCATAGATTTTCTATGCAATGTGATTTGTGTTGCCCTTCCAAATTATGCCATATCCTCTGCAGCTGTTTTCCTGTTTTATTGCCTTGGAAAAATTGATCTGTCATGTTTGAGTTATCTTCACAAGTTAGTACAAATTCCAGTAGGTGTTGCTCATCAGTTCTGATCTGCATTGTTATGCTCTTCAGAAAAATATTGGCACAATCAATACTCATGTTTCAGACTACCAACGGATGATCGATAGCCTTCAAGTAAGCAAGTTGACATTTTTTAACATGTTTACTGGACGTTACAAAATCATGCATGTTTAGAAGAGCTTCTTTTCCTTGTAGAATGAGGTCAGCCATTTGAGGAAGGAATTAGCTGACAAAGAAACACAACTAAGTGCCAAGCCTACTGAAAAAGCCTCAGACGACGAGCTTTCTTGGTTGGACACGTTGAGCCATGAAACCAGTGAAAATGTCCAGGAGAGGATAAATTTACAGAAGGCTTTGTTTGAGATAGAGGAGATGAACATTAGCAACCGTAATGAACTCCAAAATCTTGATGATGCAATTGCGAAACAACAGGTTATGCATCATTCGATGGACGATTTATTTCCCAAACATCTATATGCTTGATATGCTTCTGTCTGGCACTAAACATGTGTTAACCAAACATTTACCTATCTTGCACGCAAAGATTTGTATCTTTGGTAGATCAGTTGCTCCAATTTCTTAATAAGCTTCTACTTCATGTCTAGTACTCCCTACGGTATGACTGCACTACTACTGTTTGGAGGATCATTTCCCTAATGTCAGTTAACTCTGATCTTGAAAGTGGAGCACTTAGTCTTTTGCTTCTATTTCATTCCTTTATTTCTTGTCTGATCCAAGGTGCTTTTGAATTTTGCTCTTCAATCATTAAAGATCGTTAACAATGTCTTGTCTTTCTCCTTCTGTATGACCTTAAATCTCTTGAAGATATCGTATTAAATTGTTCAAGAATTTCTCATTGGATATTTCCTTCTTTTTCAGGCCATTGAAAAGGATGGGGAAGTTGTCCGGGCTCTTAGATCAAGGCGCCAAGTCATTCTTGATAATATTCGTGACAATGATGAGCTCAGTAGCAATTATCTGAAGGTGGCTAAGTACTGCTGATGTAGGTTTTGTCCCGATCTCTGTTTTTCTTCTTAACACATCAGGAGTTCTAAATCGTGCAGGAAATTGAAGCAAATGAGAAGAGAAGGTGTGAACTCCAAGCTATGATTGATGATGCCATTAGCAGCAATGGAAACAAGACTTACTTGAGAGTTCTGAGTCAATACAGGCTACTGGTAAACACATATTATAATTTTTATTCATTTAGTTTAATCCCAACAAAGAAGATATATCAATTATCCAGTTTTCTTTCCACCACAAGATGTACTATGTTCTTTGCATTTTTCCTGTTCATGCTTCCACTCATTGGTTTGCTACCTCTGTACTGGCAAGCCCAATGGGAACAAAACAATTATGCAGAAAATCGCTTATCTTAATTTTGACTGAAAATTGATGTATTATTTGAACCTCACCTTTTTACTGTAATAAATGTAGGGAATTGCTAATACTGAACTTCAGTTTGAAATAGCGATGAGAGATCAAATAATCCACAATCAAAGGGAAGCACAAAAGAATCTGTGGAATTTGCTCCTAAGTTTAGGCCTTGATGAAAAGCAGATAACAGATCTTGCCCTTAAACAAGGAATAACTATTGAAGACTGGGCAATGACTGCCCAAATTCAATTATCTGATAGAAGACAGTCACCAAACACAGGAAATGGAACATATACTACCTTATCTTCTTCTCCCCCAAATTTTCAACTTGGTGCCAGCTTGCCACTTGATCAATACTTCTGTCCTAGGCCAACTTCCCTGGGAAATCAGAGACTACCACATATCCATTGCAGGGACGAAGACCACAGTTCTAATTATTTGTATGACTACTCTCCAACAGAAAATACAGAGCTGAACGGAGATGAAAGTTTGTTTAGAGATGGGATTTCTTCACTTAATGGAGTTCCTGATAGGCATCAACTTGAATTTTGCAGTTCATATCCGCCTACATTAAACCAATTTTCTTCATGCAGTGAAAGTGGCATGTCAATGACACCTTCCCATGTGAACTTCAGGAAGCAGCAGCAGCAGCAGCAACAGGTATTATTTCAAACCAATCATTCTGCATTCTGGATGCTCCTGTATTGAGAACTACAGGCCATTTTTGTTCAGAAATGCAACCGTCTCTGTCTCTGTCTCTTCTCCCTCTGTTTGTGTATTTTAGTTGCTGTGCCTCTCAATGTTCTTTTCTCCTGTTTCTGTTCTGGCTTTTACATTTATTAAACTCATGTATCTTGCTCATAGGATATCCCATCAAGTTCTATGAGGCAGCAAATACACCCAAGCTACCATGCTGAAATCAGTAGCAATGATTACCTTCACCATGGAAGGACGATGGTTCGCAGGGTATCAAGCGGAGGTCGGTTTCACAGTAGCTCCTTAGCCCAGAACTTTGCCTCGCTCAACTCTAATCATGTATTCCCAAAACTTGGGCAATTTAACCTGCAAGATGTGCAGGTGCTTCCTTCATATGATACAACCAAGCAAGTTTCATTTAGTTCCAATAGCCTCGAAGCTCAGCCACCAAGATTTGTTTAAACCTTCTATTCTTTCATTTGATTCCTTTTTCAGTTTGTCCCTCCAGTTGTACATATTATAGATAGTGTTAAAGATTTTATAGCCATTTAGTGGTTCCAGTAGTTGGCATAGATATTCAATTCATTCGACTCTTGTAAGGAAGTAAACAATGTAGTTCCTGATCCAGAAAAAGAGAAAAAGAAAAGAAGAAAAGTAAAGAATGTAGTTCTGGTGGCTGCTGTGCGTGCATACTGCAGTAGTGTAAAATATTTGGAAGTTGCTAGCAGTTGAGTGAAACAGTTCAATGTCGCTGAGTCCCAATTTTCTGCAAGGCTCTTGGAGAACCGTTGCTGGTTTTGAGTTCTGCTATTGGTTTTATAGCATAAAAAGCTGATATGGAAGTGTTGGTTCCTCTGCATCTTTGGTTGTTGATACTTGAAAGGTTCTGCTTAGCAGATGATAGCCTGAAGAAAAGCTTTTATTCACCAAAGTTTAAGGTGTCGTCTAATAGTTAAATCACTTGTTTTTTATTTGTAAGTCCGTCATTAAAAATCTACTCCGTTTGTTAGCTTAGTTGTAGTACTTCCATGATGATGCGGGTTCCAATTCCCCCTTTAACTCTAATCCTACTATTGTCACAACAAAGAAAAAAATATGCGTTTTCCACTCTATAGAAACACAAGTATTTCCTTTTTCTTTTTAGACGAAGATGACGTGCACGCGGGTCCTGGTCACCTAGTGGGATCCCTGGAAATGTGCTTAGTCCAAGGTTCAAATAAGTCTAATAATATGCGCCGGGGCGTGAGAGAGAAGGGGGTGGGGGTGTCACAGTACCAAAACTCAAAAGCAAGGTGTTTTAAATAGAATCAGATAGTACCTGGCAATTTGCTAATATTGGAGATTGAAGTTGTCTCATTCAAAGTAATCGACATAATATTGAAACGTTCAATTACTACTCTCGCATTGTTGATAATTGCACGTTGCTGTTAAGTGGTAACTTAGCTGTTTGAAGTTTGCTGATAAAATACACCTATAGAATAGAGAAAAGAAATCAAATGACGAATAAAGTTGCTAAAAATAAAAGCCGGATAAATACTCTTGTTAAATTAGTTTATTTTGATTCCTCACCTTACAAAAATAGAATTCCTCAAGAAAGGTCCAATATTTCCTTTATGGATTCAATGGAAAAAGAAGTGAAGAGAGCAATGCCTAACCAGACAGCTAGAGTTATGCCACTCGGGATTTATCCAAGATTGAGGTTGTCCCACTGCAACATTAAAAATTAAACATTAAACTCCACGGCGGCAAATATATCAGTTTAACAGTCGCTAAAACTTCCCCTTTCTTAAACCTTTCAAAAACCCTCCTCCACCACTCACGATGGCTTCAACTGTCGACCCTCCAAAATCATTCAAACCCTACGAGCTCAAATACACGCTCTCCGGCCACAAACGCGCCATCTCCAGCGTCAAATTCTCCGACGACGGCAGACTCTTAGCCACCTCCTCCGCCGACAAAACCGCCCGGACATGGTCCCTCTCCGACGGCTCTCTCCTCCACGAATTCGAAGGTCACGAACAGGGCATCTCCGACGTGGCATTCTCCTCCGACAACCGTTACCTAGCAACTGCCTCCGACGACAAAACTGTCCGATTATGGGACGTTACTACCGGTTCCCATGTCAAAACCCTAACAGGTCACACAAACTATGTGTTCTGTGTTAACTATAACCCTCAATCGAACTTGTTGGTTTCTGGTTCTTTTGATGAGACTGTTAGGTTATGGGATGTGAAGACTGGGAAGTGTCTTAAGGTTCTGCCGGCGCATTCAGATCCTGTGACAGCTGTAAATTTTAATCGGGATGGGTCGTTGATTGTGTCAAGTAGCTATGATGGGTTGTGTAGAATCTGGGATGCTTCAACTGGGCATTGTATGAAGACCATTATTGATGATGAAAATCCACCTGTTAGTTTTGTCAAGTTCTCCCCCAATGGCAAATTTATACTCGTTGGCACTTTGGATAATACTCTGGTAATTCTTAATGCTGTTCCCAGAATTTCCTTTTTGTTCTTCTTTTTTGCTATTCAGTTGAATTAGATGTAAAGGTTGAGTCTTGGTAGCTTTTGATTGAAAAAAACCATAGTTTTTTGGTGAAGTTATTGCAATCAGCTGTTTTCTTTTGTTATTTTCTATGGAGTTGAAAATGGATTTACGTCTGAAAGACTGTAAAGTTCGTTCTGTAGGAATCCTTATATACATGATTATGTTCAAGTTACTCGAGTTAATCGCCAAAGTTGGCTTCTTTTGAGCTGATTAGGGTACAAGAACTCTGTAGTTTTATGCTGTGGTGAAATTAGGTTTTGCTGATAAAATGCTTAAGATGCATATGGTGATCAAGTGCTTCAGTCAGAACATATAGTTTTTTGTGTGCTTTTCCGTGGCATAGGAAACTGCTGTTAGGGGCAACTAAGAGTTGCTGAAGAGTTTTGTTGCTTGCATTTAGTGAAGTAAGTAAGGAGCTCTAGTTATAGTAAAAAAAATGTATAGTACACAACCAGGACCTAACTAGTTGGTTAGAAGTTTGTTATTGATTATTGTGTCATGTGATAATCATGAAATGTTTTCTTGTTACTTACGTCTACTGAAATTTGTATTAGTAAATGTAATCGAGATGGAACATACCTTTGGTGTATACTAACTTTGCACTCATATTTTATTTTATCAAAAAATCCAAGATTGGTGTAGTTAGTCATCGACTTAACCATTTATATTGTTTGGAGTTGATGGGAGGAAAATCTACTTGAAATCCTGTTACAATGGATCAGAAAGGCTCGCAATTCTTGCCTTTCTGGTTGGTCACGATAATTTTCTTTTGCTAAAAAGCATCCACTTGTCCCTTTGGCCTAGTTCGGTGGCTTTTGCATTATGCAGGTCTGACATTCTGTATTATGCATTACGTATCTACTCATGTTTATTTAGCAGGTATAAGTTGATCCAAACACAGACAAAAAACATGTCCAAGATTTCTAAGATATTTATTTTATCTTTTTTCTTAGTTAAGGGATAGAGATAACCCATCTAGTTCTTCTCTCAAGAGAAGTCAAAGTGAAACTGGTAAGAGGAACTAGGACTTCTGAAGTATGCCATGCACAGGGGTGTCGAGTCCAATCCAAAAAAATATAATCTGCCCAACCCACCCTCCAAATGTTAACAGGTTGGGCGAGTTCTAAAATATTTACTGGTCAGAATTGGCTATGCCCAAATTAATCCATGCCAAAAAGCAGTTCGGATTGGGCTAGTATAAGTCGCCCAAATCAATCTGTGAAGGCTGCCCAAATAGGTCTCTTTTGCTTCAGTCTTCACTTTTTTATTGGATCTCCAGCAGATCTACTCGCCATGTCTCTCTGGCGAATTCCTCACATTTTCTATAAAGGGTGAAATTGAGGTGTTAGTTACCTCTTTCTGTCACATGCATTCTCATGTGTAGATGAGAGAAGTCCACTGATCTGTGCAGTCTTTTACTACTTCAGAAGTCTCTTTCGTCACTCTTAGCTTAGACATTGTACAGGAGCTAATTTAGTGTCTTATTAGACACTGTACACTTTTGTCATCTTTTGTATATCTGCATCTTCTGGATGCCTCATTAATACAATTTCTTACTTCATAAAAAAAGTTTCTTTCGTCACTCTAAACTCACAGATCTTTTTGGAAGCATAGACTTTCCAATATCGAGATTCTATCTTCTCACCAAGAAATATGATAAGCTAAAGTTGGAAATTTCTGGTAACCCGTTGGTGAACCCAATGTTATTCCTAGTGGGTTGTGCTTTTTCATGCGGTTTTTATCAAACTTTTGGTCCATAATTATCCTTGGTATTTGAGTAATACGGTTCATTTGGAAGTATGGTAAACTTGGTTGGACTTTCTTCATGTTTATGCTTCAATGCAAATTTTAGGGACTATTTTGAAGTTTCTTAATACTCCTTTGATCTGTTGGAATTAGTTTAAAATTCTCTTGATTTATCGAGAAAGTTTACGAAGTTTGGCTCCTTTCCCTGTAATGGATGCTGTTTTACAGCACAAGTGCTTTTGGCTTAGCCATGATTTAGAAGTTGAAAAAGTTAATGGTGTTGTACCAAAAGCAAAATTGCTATTTTCATCCCTGTTTTTCCTCGGATGGACTTAGTCAGTATGAAAAGGAGGCAATAGAGAGAAGCAAAAAGGAGGTTGAGTCAAGTTAGAGGGATTGGCTATGACCTATTGTTTAACCTTCATGACTCAACCCATCTTGACGCAAAGAGACTTTGGGCGGGTTGGATTATGATCCAGCTAATCAATTTATCCCATTTGACCTTTGGAAGTTGGCCCACTTGACACTCGTATCCACGCATATCCCATTGCATGAAATGGTGTATAGGTCCTTTGGCTTTTGTCATGCTTAAAGGCACAGTTACTCATCATTAGCTTTGATATTGTAATCAAGCTATGTGCAACCATGTTAGAAGTCTTAAGGTAACTCCATTATGACATCTCAAAAGTGGCATGAAGAGATACTTGACTGGATTTATCGATGAACTTCTTTCTCTGTATGATTGTGGAAGTGCTACTCAGACCTTGGTCTCCCCATACCCCTGCCTATCTCACCCCAACTTAATAAATTAAAACGAAGCTGAAATGTCTATAACCTCATGTAAGGGTTGGCTATACAAGCTTTGTTGTCTACCTATCGAAAACCAAAAACCAGCTTCCAGTTGTTCCATTTTACTGTCCAGTCCTTGTGGTGATTTATTCCCCTGAAAGGGATCTTGGTTGTGAACTCTTCATCAGCTGTTCCATTCTAGGGCTTCATCCTCATGCTTATCGCTCTTCCACAACAAATTCTCTAACCTAGTGCCCAAGACATATCAATGTGGAGAAATTTTACTTTTGTGGCAAGTCATAAATTATGAAAAAAGATGAACTTGAGATACTTTGATAACTTTGTTCTTCGTTCATATATTTCTCCGCCCATAATCTTTTAGGCAAAAGTCGATTATTAGAAGGAAAAGCTGATGATTGAAAAAGAACCTGAAAATTCCATTGCATCTTTCTGGAGATGAGGTGGAAATTTCCTTTTCTTTTGATGAATAAAGCAAAATGTCAATAATATCAGACAAGGTAAGATGGTATCAGAAGTATGTATCCCAGCTATCCATACAAGGGGGAACCTCCACTTTACTCCAAAATGAGAAAATGAAGATAAGAGCAATCCTTAATACTCCTAAACTCGTTCTTGTCTGCATTTCTTTTGCCCCAAATAAGCCTAAGAAAACATAGTGGTGTCCTCAAAGTTGCCTTCCTTTCCCTGTCGATCTCCTGAACTGTCTATCTTGAGACAAAGCTGCTTCCCCTGTTGTTTATAACAGCCAAAAGATCTTTAACTAAGAGAAAACCACGGTTGAGCTTTTGCGCACCTTGGTGCTTTGATCATCTATGAAATGCATGGTTTGGAGTTATTTATTCAAGCTTTGTCTGATTCTGATTTCTCTATGAACTGTGATATGAGAGTCCATCTCATCTTTTTATCTTACCACAAGACATGCTCTTTTGGTTTATTTGAGAAATCACAAGTTATGGTCTTTTCTGTTGGTTGCTTGCAACTTTTGAGAGATGGCTAGTCTCTGATCTGTGAAATTTATTCTTGCCTGTTTCCTCAAGGCGTCTGTTCAGTAAAGCAAACTTCTACCGTGAATTTGTTGTGACAAAGTTGACATGGTGCTTCAAGAATGTTCCATCATTCCTTTCTTCTCAAAGTACAGCTTCCTCTACTAATGAACCATTACATCTTGGCAGATGTGTTCCATATGGTATTCAAATACTATTTTCAAAATGAAGATTTTGGTATTGCTTAGTTTCAAAATGAAGTATATGCACTGTTTTACAAGTTCCATCGGATAGAGAATAAGTCGATATACCTCTGTATCTATTGTAATGCCTCTGCAAAATTTTCATCGTTCAGATACTTCTACTTAACTACTTTTCCAAAAAATAAATAAAAAGGAAACTGCTAATTAACGTGCACCCTGACCTTTATATACTTTTTCTTTCCCTTGTTTTGCAGAGGCTTTGGAACTTCTCGACAGGAAAAGTTTTGAAAACTTACACGGGCCATGTCAACTCAAAGTTCTGCGTTTCATCAACATTTTCCATAACAGATGGGAAATATATTGTTAGTGGTTCCGAGGATAATTGTGTATATCTGTGGGAGCTTCAGTCAAGGAAGATAGTTCAAAAATTGGAAGGTCATACTGATACCGTAATTTCTGTAGCATGCCACCCCACACAGAACATGATTGCTTCTGGTTCTCTTGGGAATGACAAGACAGTGAAGATCTGGACTCAGGCTCAGGCGGAAAACAGTGAAGATATGACTTAAGCATTTGTGCATAAATCAGGTGATGTAGCAGAATAACTGCATGTTACTTGCCTTGCATGTGAGAATCGGTTATTATCAGTCTCTACATGAGGTAAAACCTCTGTATCTTTTAGTCCTGGTAGTTGTCATGTAGAAGTTCTTTCAGCTTTTGTCTAAGTTATTGTATTCCAGGAATTTGCTTAACTAGATGAATATGTCTATCAGATTTATGGAAATTGTATCAGAGTTGGAACTTTTGCTTCGTCGATCACCCTTCCCCTTCCCCTTCTCCCTTCCCCCACCCCACACAAAAGAAAAAGAAAAAAAAGAGAATTTTTTTCCCGTTGCTGTGTGCTGAACTATGTTATAATACTAGTTTTTTACATTTGTCAGTTTGCACCTCCACACGAATGAGCTTTTCGTAGATCAGAAGAAATGCAGTAGCATAAGGATGGCTGAGTTTGCTTTATTGCTCGGACTGCTACTTTAGGATTAAGGTTGATGCTGTCTGTCTCTGGGATTCTGATTTTTAAGATGATGTGGAAAATATTTCTGGTTGTTAGAACTTAAATAATCTTATTAATATCTGTATAAGTTTAACAAGTTTTGGTCTAGGCTTCTTTTTTTAGTCAACATTATGAAGTTGTGCCTTTTTTTTTAATTGTTGCGAATGGGGTCTATATGTATTTGTTAATTGTTATAAACCTGTTAGGAGATCCTACGTATAATGTGATCATGTTTGTAAGAAGGGTGAATTTTCAAATTAATATACCCAGAATAAGGAGGCTAAGTGGGCCGGCCCCGGAGGCTAAGTGGGCTAAACGGGCTGGGATCGTTAGGCCCGCTAGAGGTGGGCTCATGCCGGTCTCGTGGGTCGGTTCTTAGCTAGGAACCGTTAGGACCTGGCCCGTCAAGAGACCGAGACCGGACCGGTCCCTTGACGGGCCAAACGGGCCCAATGGATATTTTAAAAAAAAAGAAGAGCCAGTTTGGCTTTTAAAAAAAAGAGTTGTTGGGTTTAAAAAATAGCCGTTGGCTATTTAAAAAATAGCCATTTAACTCCTCCAACTTAGTTTTAACCCCAAACTTTTTATTATTACACTTTTTTCCTATTTTCTACTATAAATACCATTTCATTCTTTCATTTTCTTACAAAATCAATATCAATCTATCAAAATCTCTCTAATTTTCTTCTATACTTGCTACAATTGTGTACTTTATTAAAAAAAAAATAGTGAGGTTGCTACTATTACTTATTTTATTTCAAAAAATATTCAAAAAATATTGAGATTGTTACAATTTGTGAAAGAATTGTGAAATTGGTGAATTGAAGTCTTCAAGTTTTCAACGATAATCAATTTTCAACAAGTTGTTCGTCAATTCGGTAAACTCGTTCCAACTCTTAAGTTTTAATATTATAGTTTTGTTTGTTTTAGTTATTTGCTATTATTTGATTAATTAAGATATCTTTCTTAAGAAATATTTTTGGTAAAATAAGAATAAGGGAAAATCCAAGACTAGCGAATCTAGTGGTACTGTCGTTCCTCCTCCCTTGCCCCTGGCTCCCCGAACCAAACCCCATACCCGTTCTACACCTGCTATTCTTGATACCGATAATAGTTTATTACAATTTAGCGACACTGAATTTTGCCATAATATTGCACCCGGTGAACATTTAGACCATGAATTAATGAATGCTCTCTATTCTAATAATTATAATACTATTGATGAAAATGATGATGAGGAAATTGATCTTGATGAAACTCAACCGGACGATGATACACCCACTAGTCCTGCTCCTGATGTTGACCCAACTAGTGATAACCCTGCTAATCCAAATGATGACCCATCTGATATTCCCGTTACTGTCCTTACTTTTTCTAAGAACCTACCAAACGGCAGGAAACATCTACTGTTTGGCCATTTTTTACTCAACTAGTTCCAAAAAATAAGGCTAAGTGTAAAACTTGTTATATGGAGTTAGCTTTTAAATATATTGGATCGCGTTCGGGGACAAAATCTTTGGCTAGACACATAAAAAAATACCCTAAAGATAACGTCAGATATCAACGTCTGAAAACTCTGGCCGAAAGGAAATGTGTACCTAGTCCTAGTCAGGCTGACCCTAGTATCGGTTCAAATCAATTTTAATCGGGAATTAACACTGTTACCAATGGTATTTTATGTTATGATCCAAAAAAAGATGGGGAAGAATTGACAAAAATGGTAACTGTTATGTGCTTAACCTATAGTTTTCCTTCTAACCCTGCGTTTGTGCATTATATTAGAATTTTTTTTAATCATACTTATAAAGGTTTTTCTCGCACAACTGTAAAGAACGATATTTATAAATATAAGCATGAATATGAACAATATTTGTGTTATTTCATATTGCTACAAAAGAATTTTCTGGCAATATTATCCTACTATTTCTAACTGTTTAGTTTATATTGCAGAACTTGCAAATTTGTTTGCTCATTTTTCACAGGGCGAGGAAATTTATCAACTTGCTATTGATTCTATGAGAAAATAGTTTAAAAAATATTTTTTCTCTATTCCCCCTGTTTATGGTGTTGCTGCTTTGTTAGATCCTTATATGAAATTAGGAGGTCCTCAATTTTGGTATAAAACTGTTTATAATGGTTTAACACTTGAGGATGATGAGTTGCCTAAACTTCCGGAAACAATAACCCCAATTAGAACAAATGCTTAAACTATTTATAATGCTTATCAAGTTGCATTAAATCATGCTAGACCAAATGTTCCAACTTCTTCTTCTTTTGATACTCAATCTTCTAAAAGAACTGCGGGAGTAAGAGGACTTAGTGTTTGGGCGGAATTTAGGGGTTCTTTTGGTTCTAGTAGTAGTAATTTTTCATAACTAAATGAGCTTGAAGTTTATTTGTCGCAACAACTTGAGGAAGTGAATCTCGACGACACCTTTAATATTTTGCAATGGTGGAAGGATAAAGAAAAATACTTTCCGATTCTTTCAAAGATGGCCCGAGACATTTTAACTATTCAAACTTCAACTGTGGCATCGGAGAGCGCTTTCAGTCAAGCAAGACTTCAAATCGGTGATTATATAGCGTCTATGAGGGAGAACTTGAAAAAATCAGTACTTTTCAGAGATTGGATCCGTTCGGGAAAGAAGAAATTTTGGACTTGCTGAATCACAACAAGAGGTAGACGAAGCTTACGAAGAAATGCTAGCTGAACTTGCTGAGAATGATGCTTCGCCCGACAATGGAAGCGGCGATGACCAAGCTACTTTTTCGCCACCACCAACGGAACTTCCTCCGAACCTTGAAGGATTTTTGAAGTTTGTAAGAGATAGCATGTAACTTGTATGAACAAAAATTAGTATGTATTGAGTAACTTGTATTTTGACACATCTTGATTAGTTCCTTTTTCTTCTCAATGGTGGTATTAACACCTTGTTGTGCTCATTCCATAGGAGGAGGAAGACTAAGAAAGATATTGTCATATTTTTTATTGCTATAATAAAATTACAAGGCATTGCTTTGAATATCTTTTTACAATATTTTTGTCTTTAAATTTGAATTAAAAAATTAGTCACAATTCTATAAAAAATTTACAAGGCATTGCCTTAGATATTTTTTTAACATCTTTTTGTCTCTAATTTCTATTTAATTTTTTTAAAAAATACTGCTTAGCCGTTGGGCCTGTTGAGACCACGGGTCCGACCCGTTTAACACGTTTATTTAAGGACCGGGCTCACAGCCCACGAGGCAGACCCGTTAGTAACGTTTAGGGTCCGAACCGACCCACTTACCACCCCTAACCCAGAATGAGAGAAAATGGAGGAAAAGCAAACAGTGTTAATTGTGGAGAAGAGATTATAGATGTTTTGGGTTTGGGTAGAAAAGTAGTCGTGCAATACTTGATGATTCAGCCAATCTCGTGATCCCCTTCATTAATAATTTTAATAGAAGGGTTTATATTCACTTTGAGTTGAGTTTGTAGTTTAGTGATTACAACTTGATAATAGTATATCCAATCTATTGGTATTTGGTGTATGCTATTTTAACTCGAATTCAGAGTGAGCATGATATAACTTATTTCAATGCTAATAAACTTGTTATCGAGTCTAGAGAGATTAGATAAGTGGTAAAATTTTACCAGATGAAGCTTTAGTCATTTCAATTAGATATGAAGCTTTAGTAAAATATAATTCCTGGGATTTGATTTGACCAGAATCCGAATTAGGTTAGTTGTTGACGCTGATAGTGATAGACAATAAATGATGAAACTATAATTGTTAAAATTCGTGGAGATAGTGCTTGAATTATGAGCTGGGTTGCACGTAGATCAAATGAAGAGAGATTTATATTTTATATTCCGAGCTAATTGATTCTTTTACTTCATCTATCAAGGAGATCTGCGAACGGATCAGAGAATAGAAAAAAGAAGAAATAGTTCAAGCAAATTAGTTAAATTTGAATAGAAGAAAACGATCTTTTCTCTATTATATTATATCACCCATCTTTTACGTTTTAACATATGCTATGAGATGGGCAATAGAGCTAACTTATTGACTCAGGTGAAGAAAAAGAAACCCATTGACATCCTATCCCAGTTAATAAATATGAGAGAACATTTATGCCGTATAAATATATAACTACGCTCCATGTAAGATATTTGAAAAATCGACGATCTTAAGTTTTAAAAGAGCCAAAATTAATGGAAATAAATAAAGAAAGAAAAAATAAAAAAGAAAAGAAAGAAACGAGATGAATAAGACAGATCATCTCCTAATTACATAAATGGAGATCTTCTACTCCTATTACTTACGAGATTGGTGAATATTTATCTAGAAAACGGCACTATGGTATCTGCTATGTTAGAGCAGAAGCTTCCCTCTCCCCTTTCTTTTTGTGGGTTAATTTTGTGAAATTATAAGAATTTTATTTAACTTGTGCATAATGCATATATATAAAAGAGTAAGAGCAGATTTCCTCAAGGACTTTAAACAAGACATATTACCTTACTATTTGCGGCAAGACCGTATTTGATTCATAGTTTCGTACCCGTTTTCAATATTTTCTGTAATTAGCTTTTTCTATATAATTGCTTATGACTTTCCAGTGCACGTACTTTTTGTTTAGTTACAAACGGATTAGAAGATAATCTACACAATGTAATTCTTTTTAATTATCAAATAATGAAGTTTGATAAAGACTAGATCCTGTTTACACAATTTTCATTTAAACTATTGCTCCGCCACGAAAGTTTTAACATATTTACTGAAGAGCAAAGGTTATATATCGTGAGAAGCATTTAAAAAATACTTGCCAAGATTAAAAAGGAAAAAGAAACAACTTTGATGATAATAACTGTGTAAGTATGTATTCGTTTTAGAGTTTAATTTATGTATGTTAACGGTGCAAAGAACTATCACGGTATTATCGCATTTTAACTTGTTATAGTAGGTTATCTAATTTATTTTTTGGAAACTAATAATTGTTGGAACATAATGGTGTGTAACCTCTTAGCAGGGGTGTCAAACGGGCGGGTCAGGTCGGATATGAGCGGGTCAAAAATGGGTAATTTAAAAAACGGATAAATTATCCGACCCGACTCGTATTTGAAACGGATAAAAAATGGGTTATCCGGTGGATAATATAGATATCCATAT